CTCCTTACTGGTTATGGGTCTGTTCAGGTTTTCTATTTCATCCTGGTTCAGCTGTGGTAGTTTATATGTCTCTAGGAATGCATATATTTCTTCCAGATTGTCAAATTTGCTGAAATATAGTTGCTCATAATATGTTCTTATATCCTCTGCTGGTTTTAATTGGTATTTTTTACTGTAATAAACCATAACCATGAACATAACAGTTTTCTGACTTCTATGGATCTTTTACAAAATTACTGAACCTAAAGGTGGTCTTGGTGACTTCCCTAACTTGTGCCCTGTGACAGGTTTGGCCAACAGGGAGCTCAGAAGCTAACATGGCCAATTAGAGATGCCCCACATTTGCCCTTTACCATGTAATTTAACATATTTACAGGGTCCAGGTATTGGGATGTAGATCTCTTTGTAGGGATGCTCTTCACATTGCCCATGCAACTGACTTGTGATCTTTTGTCCTGCTCATACATCCTGGGTGTACCACTTTGATCTTACGTTTTTGGCCACACCTGACATTATGACTTGGGAAATCTGAAGGAACTCACAACATAATGGACAGTTCTGGATGCGTGGTCACTTGATGTCTTGAGACATGTTCCACTTTTAACAGGGCCCAGTAGCACACCAGGAGTTGCTCAGCAAAAGGCATACAATTCTCCACTGCAAATGATGTGATCTTGCGGCAAAACCCCAGGAGTCTGTATTGTGAGTCTCCCACTTGGGTTTATCATCAACTCCACATGGTATCTTTGTCCTCACCTGACACTTGTGATGTCGTATGTTAGATGAGTTTGCACCATCCAAGAAACAGCACTGTTTTGGTTTTTTCACCATAGCAAAGGTCCACAGAACCTTTCTCTAACCTGAGCTTCACGTTAAGGCCAGCAGCCTATCTGTCACCCTTGTAAACAGGCTAAAGAGGTATAGGCAGGTATGGAATTTGCTGCCTTCAGAAACCAAAGAGGCAGTGTACCTCCCTCTTCATAGGAAGGTACACAAGATTCAAGAATTTATCTCTTGGGTGCCTGGGTGTACGTTTGTATTTGACTGCCAACCCCTTTGGATCCTTCCTTTGTCAGTGAATGAGAGTCCGAGTCTGGTGGAAGAGACCTCCTGAGGTCCGGAGGTCAATTTCAAGAAGGCTTACCAACAGGTCAACGGCTGCCTTTGTTTAGAAGGTGCGCTACTGGCTGTATCCAGCAGGTGGCGACGTTGTACCAAGAAATGGCCTCTCTCGGCGCTCCACTGGCCTTCCACAGCCCAAACTGGGATTTCCTCTTTCTTCTTTGGAAATTCTGAATTATTTTTACTGGAATCGTCGCGGGGGCGGGGGGGCAGGGAAATGGTTTGCGGACAAGCTACATGTCCAACATGAAGCGGTTCCTTAACGGGAGAATCCCGTGGCACTAGGGGAGTATTGGGCTAAAACACAGCAGGGATCATTGAATCCCCCAAATCAACCAGCCACAGGATCACTTCGGATTTCCTCCCCCACCTCAATCTTGCCTAAAACCCACTACTTGATTCAGACTGCTTTCTTCCCATTCAAGGGCAATGCAAGTCAAGGGACTTTCCGGGTGGTGGGGTCAGGTTATGCAGGGCGGGAAGGGTGGGCAGGGGAGGAGAGAACGCAGTTGTCAGTCTCTTTCCCTTCTTTGTCCTCTCGTTCCAGGGTCCGCACCGAAGCCCCAGAGCTAGTTCCCCTCCGTGTACCACTGGGTGTATGGTGAGCACCGAGGCCCAGGGACCCCTTTCCGCCCCTGCACAAGCTGCCTCCGCTCCATCCCTCAGTCCTTTCCAACACTCCTGTTCTCCTGAAGCTTTTCCTCTTCTGGGACAAGGTAGTTTGGTGATTTGGCCATAAGTTTGGGTCCTCCCTCCTGTATTGACACAAATGTATATGGCCTTTGGTCCCCCTTGGGGACAGGGTGATCTTAGCTTCATCTCTAGTTGTCTTTCTCCAAAAGCAGCTGAGGTTTTGGTAGAGAGGAAGGAGGGTAACAGGGGTGAGGAGGGAGAGGAAAGTCACTACCTGCTTTTATTTTTTGGTTTTGAGCAGCTGCTGGTGGTTTGGGGTCGACCAAGTGAACATTTAATGTTTTAGTTGTCCCAAAGCTAGTTGCAGGGAGCACCGTGGGCAGAGTCCACGGGTGGAATGGAGGCCAGGAAGGAACTGGAGAGAACTGGGGGCTCGGCAAATGCGTGACAAAGTGGGTCCTGCTGAGTGAGACGTGAGGGAGAGGTGAATCCAAAAGATTCTGCACTGGGCTGGGGCCCGGAAGAAAACTGATCTGCTCAGTGGTCTTCTTTCTCCTCCTTCCCTTTGCTCATCACCTCCACTGTCCCATCCCTGGCTTCTCAGATCTGCACATCCTCCTTTTCTTCTTCTCCCCCTCCCCCCACCAAGGCCTTCTTTTTAGGATGTGTTAGAACCCTCCTTTCCCTGGTAAGGACGCCAGTCATTGGATTTAGGGCCCACTCTAAATCCGGGATGGTCTTCCCTAGAGATCAACTTAACTATATCCACACAATCTATTTCCCCAAAACTCACAGGTACTAGTAGTTAGGACTTGGACATATGTTTCTGGGAAGCACAGTTCAAGCCCCTGCAACCTCTAACTTTTTCTGTTATGTTACCTAAACATCAATATATTTTTCCTCCCACAAAAGGGTCCTGGTTAATATTTCCCTAGGTTTCTGGTCTCCTCTCTCACTTTCAGAAGTTCAGAGCCCAAAAGTGCTCTGAATTAAAGATAATTCCGTGGTTTTATTCTCCCGACAGACTCCAGACTCATACTGTACGTCTGTACACGTCCAAGACAGCCCAAATTTCATGAATAAATCCCATAATCCCCTTAAGAATACCAGGCATTTCCATACTATGAGTAGGCCTCCAATCCATAAAAGAACCTGACACCACAAAATGCTAGTGAGGACAGGAAGCAGCGGGAACTCTCGCTCACCACTGCTGCTGGGAAGGCAAAACAGCACGGCCTCGCCCGTCGGAACACGGTTTGGCAGATCCTCCCAGAGTTAAACACAATCTTGCCAGAGAGTCCAGGAATCACGCTGAAGTATTCATTTACCCAATTGAGTTGAGAACTTGGGTTCACACAAACATTTGTATGCAAATGCTGAGAGCTGCTTTATTCATAATCGCCAAACACGGAAGCAACTAAGATATCTTCCAACAGGTGAAAGAGTACACAAACGGTGGTATATCCGCACAAGAGAACAGTAGTCAGTGGCAGAAATAGATGAGCTCTCAGGCCACAAAAAGATGCAGCGCGACCTTCGTTGAATATTGCTCAGCGAGAGAAGTCGAGATCAAGAGGCTGCCTACTGTAGGGTTCTCCTCTGGGGACCTTCTGGAGAAAGGCAAAACTATAAAGACAGTAAATGCATCCGTGGTCCCCAAGGGGTGCAGGGGAGAGGAAGGGAGAAGCGGGTGAAACCCGGGGGACTTTTAGGCTGTGAAAGAATTCTGCACAACATTGTAATGGTGGACACATGACATTATACACTTGTTAAGACCACAGAATTCACAGCATGGACAGTGAACCTTGATCTACGCAAATTAAAAAAGATTTATTCATTTATTCATTTTTAGAGAGAGACAGCATGAGCAGGGGGAGGGGCAGAGGGAGAAGGAGAGAGTCCTCCAGCAGACTCAGCTCTGAGCGCGAAGCCCCACTTGGGACCCGATCCCGAAACCCCTGAGACCAGGACCTGTGCCAAAACCAAGAGTCGGTCGCCCAAGATACGCAAATTTTAAACGTCACTTAGGCTGGGAGATGAGAGGAAAGAGTGGAGACATGACAAGAGACTCCAACTGCACTGCAAATCTGCAAAACACCTCGCTGCAGGGTGTGGAAGGACAGGTGCTGACCCCAGTCACTTTGGGAGTGAGTCTCTAAGAACTAGAGGCAAAGAGATGGCACATACACGCTGCCCTGTAATTGACCACGCAACCCCTCCTCCCACTAGTACAGGTGAACAATTTTGATGCCGCTTTGCATGAAAACCGAATTGAACAATTAAGTGGGTCGGGGATGGTTGGAGCCAGGTTTCTCCCTGTTGGACTGGGAGTTCACAGATGAGCAAGGGAGGAGGCGAAAATGACCCATGTGGGACTGGACTGCAGTGGGAGACATCAGTAAGAATGTTCAGCTTATGATACATCCAGACAGTCAGACGTAGGAATGTTTGCAGATACGTGGTACCTGCGGCAGCCCTCCCCCTTATCTGTGGAGTACACTTTCCAAGACCCCTAGGGGATGCCTGAAACCTGCATATGCTCTGTTTTTTCCTCTATACACACACACCTATGATGAAGTTTAATGTATAAATGAGGCACGGTGAGAGACTAGCAATCCCTAATAAGAAGATAGACCAATTTTAACAATACACTGGAATAAAAGTGATGTGAATGCCGTCTCTCTCCCTCTCTCAAAATACCTTATTGCACTGCACTCCTCCTCCTTGTTATGATGACGTGAAGTGGTAAAATGCCCACCTGATGGGAGGAAATGAGCTGGCTGACCTAGGTGCTGTCACCCAGCGTTAGGCTATCATTGACCTTCTCGGGATAAGTCAGAAGGAAGATCATCTGACCACAGGAAACCGGAGCCCCAGAAAGCAAGATTAAGAATAAGCTGGGAAGGATGACTGTACAGAAGCTAATAGATACACACATATTTCTTTTCTCCATCTGCTGAGCGAGCATAAAAGAAAGAGCACCCAATAGCAACAAGCATACTTAGTACCCAGATCTTGGTTTCTTTTTTTTTTTTTTTAAAGATTTTATTTATTTATTTGACAGACAGAAATCACAAGTAGGCAGAGAGGCAGGCAGAGAGAGAGAGGAGGAAGCAGGCTCCCTGCCGAGCAGAGAGCCCGATGCGGGGCTCGATCCCAGGACTCTGGGATCATGACCTGAGCCGAAGGCAGAGGCTTTAACCCACTGAGCCACCCAGGCGCCCCCAGATCTTGGTTTCTAATACTGTTCTCCAGGGCTCCTTGGAGAAATGGCTGATTCTAGGGCTGGGGCAGGAAATTTACAAGCAGAGACTGGACCACAGCATAAGAAAATGCTCAAAACAAGCAAGCAAACAAACAAACAAACAGGAAACAAACAACACACTGATGAGAATATGTCAAAGGGATATGCAAACCCTTGATGTCATATGGTGAAAAGGCACTTTGCCCCTCTGGTCTTACTCTGTAAACCCCACAACCCCAGGCTAATCATCAGACAAATTCCAACAGAAGGGCACCCCACAAAACACCTGAGCAGTACTCTTTCTAACTGTCAAGGTCACTAGTCAAAGTCTGAGAAATTGCAACAGGCAAGAGGAGCCTAAAGAGACATTAACAGCTAAATGTAATGTGCTATGTGATCTTGAACAGAAAAGGTAAAAACCAAGGACTTAAGATCACAGTGATAGGATCTTTACGATATTCTCTTTGCCGGAATAGACTAATCAATACAAGAATAATGTTTTACCCTCTGAATTTCAGAACACATGCATCCTGAGTTTTAGTAATATGAAGATTTGCGAAATCCTAAAGATTCTGTGTGAGATTATTTCTAACCAAGCATTTAGTTCCTCACGTAAGATGAACAGCAGCCCTAAAATTGTGCTATAGATTGACCCACACATTTTCTAAGCATTTACTTTCCATCTTCCAGGCACTGGGGATAAAGAGATGAACATGTGTTAGATACTGCCTTCAAGCAACTGAATTTAGGGGAAGGCACAGAAGACACGGAAAACCCGCACGCACATGCACATGCGCGTTAGTGTCACAATCCCATCGTTCTTCCCATTGGTTGACTTTAAAAGGGGGTTAACAGCCCACGTGTTAGGATTATAGTCTTCATGTCTTTAGAGAAGTGGTGCGTAAGAAGTGCTCTACAACGGCAATTTTTTAAACAAAAGTAACCATTTTGGAATTTAGGGAATGATCACCATTGCCTGTGGAATAACAACTCCATGGGTAATCCCCTGGAAGCGAGTAAATAGACTGAATTCTCACCATCTTCAATCCTCGTCACTCACCATTTCCACATCTTGCGGATGGACACATTGTTCTGTATTTGGCTGATTTATACATTCTTCTGTACACCACTGTTCATGGTTTCGCTTCATATCAAGGAGGATGGATTCCATAGTACAGCCGAACTCAATGATATGAGATAACCCAATTTGGTGATTATAAGTGAAGCCAGCAGTATGCATGGCTACTAATGAACCTTTTGCATCAAACACTGGGGAGCCAGAAGCCCCAAAGTAAAAAGAAGTGTCATAGGTAATCACATCAGGATCGTAAGCTATTTTCTGGAAGCTTCTTTGAGTGTACATATGAATATATTGCATGTCATCATTGCTACCCTCTCCCCCTCTAGGCTGAGGATGTTCCTGAAATTTCTTGCTTCGCTGCTCCAGAGGGATCACAGTGCAAGCATCGATAGACTTTGCCTCTCCATACGGGTGGCCGATGATATAGATGAGCCCACTAGGTGGCGCAGGAGCAACTCTAGAATAGAGTCCCAAAGGTACCCGCTGTCCATTGGCCTTCAGGTGCAGAACGGCGTAATCGAGAGTGGCATCAGATACCCTAAACCAAGGCTCAACGAAAAAGCAGTTCTCTTCTTTCTCAGGGGGCCCTTCGTAACTAAACGTCACTCTTACGCACTGACCAATTATGTCTGCCCACCTACTTGGGTCTATTCCCTTTCCCACAATGTCACTTACCACGTGTCGACAAGTTAAAATGAACAACTCATTAAAAACAAAGCAGGTGGCAGAACCCCTATTTCCATTGTTGTCCCACGACAGGTACCCAACTGAGTCACTGAGATGAGAAAGAAGTTTGTGGATTTTAACTGGAGTAGAGTTTTTTGTCAGTTTCCCAAAGGTTACTTTATGCAGTTTAAATAATGAAGTTTTGTTCTTTTTCTTTTCCAATTTTTTCTTGAAGTTATCTCTGATCTTTTCACTTTCTCTCTGTAAACTGGGGTACTGAGCCACAATTTCTTCTCTCAACACAGAGGTGTTTCGTTCCTCTGACTCCAAATTTTGAGAAGCTCCTGCTCCAGAGCGCGTTCTTTTTTCAACTTCAATTTCAAAGAGCTCGCCTTCTAGGTTGTCAACAGTCTGCGTGCTTTCTAGAATGGAGTCATGGTTTTTGATGAGTCTCCAGTCCTCTTTCTCCAGAAAGGAGAGAAACCTGCCGTCCTTGCACACTGCGTCCTTGATGGTTTCTCCTTTGAAAGCATAGACACAGAGTTTGCACCCTTCTTTGTGAAGATGCCAGCGCTTGACTATCCTCTTCTTTCTCTTCCCAATCACATGAATATAAAATTTGACACAGTCAGGGGATACCTTGTCATGCCGGCCAAATACCGGGCTCCCTTCTTTCTGTCTACTTCTACTCTGGGCAAATGTGATTAGCACGTGGCAGCTTTCAGGAAAGCAAGTGAGGGGCATCCCAAGATTGATGTATCCTTCGATGCCTTCCATGCCACGCACCAGCATCTCTTTGCCTTGCTGAGTTTTTATTTCCTTCTTGACAGCCTTTAATGTGTTGAGTGCTGCATATAAGCTATCCCCGTCACTGTGTGTGAGCACGTGTTTTCTGGAGTTCACAGCCAAGGTGATGTAAATTGTCTTCTTTGGGGGCCCAGTCTGGTCTTTGGGTCCTTGAGCCTGGGTGTTAGTTATATCTTTTGGAGATTTTCTAGCACCCATCTTCATTTGAGGAATATCGGAATTATTCTGGTTTTTATTGACCTAAAAATAAATGTTACATGATTTAAAACTCTGAATACAACCTTACACAAGGAGGATTCATCATATACCAAAAATTCCCTGAAAAATTAAGAGCATTTGATTTCTATGTCTGAATGAGACATTGTCCCCCAAGTCATATTCATCATGGCATTGGTGTGGACAGAACTTGCTGGTCATGGAAATAACAGGGCAGGATGGTTGTAAAGATTCAGTGTAACGTCCTAGGTGACAATACCCAGCACGATGACTAGCACATTAAGAGATTAATTTTTATTTCCCTTCTTTGTAATGGTGCTAATATTCTGGATCCAAAAAAAAAAAAAAAAAAAAGGAGCATAAGGTAATATAAGTTTACTCTGGGCACAACAAAACAAACTCTCAGAGAACATCTCCTCAGCCCAGCATTGTCAGAAATATCCTTGTTGGGACACTATAATGGATTTCCAACTCTTCAGAAGATTCTAGGGCAGATACGGACATTTTCAAGTAAGGGAACTGGGTAGTACATGGCTATTGGCTGGCTCTGTCATGAAGTAGGACAAAGAGAAGCATAACTAGGCTTGTCTCAGCTTTCCTAGATACTTGGATATTTCAATTAAACCAGATGAAAGAAAACAAAGGAAAGCTTTTACATTGCATACTCAAATTCTCAAAATTCTCCTAGCCTGCTTCTTGATAAATGCAAGGAGGATTTCAGACTCAGGAAAGAAACTGAGGGTTTGATATGATAACAGAGCTCCATTATTAGAAAAAGCCCTAATGTCAGTAAAAGTAAATGCAAATCTTCCCTTCACTTCTGTCTCAAGCAAGAAGGCATTTCTCTCTCCGCATAAATAAACTGAGGATAATAAAAATCTTTCCTCCCTGCCTAACAAGGTTATGATAAGGATGATTATTTTAAAATTTGTTTCATACACTAGAAAGCACAGTACAAATGTAGGTTATTACTGTGATCAAAGAGATTAGCTTATATATTTTCATGCTTTGAAATAGTATTAATTTTTTTATTTCACAGTTGACTGTAATACATTATAGTAGATTCATTGTTGTTGTTGTTCAGGAAGTGTTACAATAGCTTTTTACTGAAGGCTGTTTTGATGTGGCCAAGATCTGTATTAACACTAAAAGACTAAAATGGATGAGAAAGATTTTACTTTAATATCGTCAACCTACAAGGAGGCAATTTCTTGGCAGAAAGAACTATGACATCCAGTGTCAAGAAGAGCTATGTCTCATATTGGCACGTTCCATAAACAGTAAATAACCATATTTACAAACATACCTGAGGGAAATAGTGCTCAATTTTCATATTTCTCTTCTCATCGAATGAGATCTGTGACCTGAGCTTCTTAGGGCTCATGATGGTTTGAAGATGAATAGACAGTTCACTCTAAACACTAATTTCAAAAAAGGTTCAAGTTAGAGTGGTATTTTCATAGCTATGTTAATTGTAGAGGATAACGTTGATGGGACCCCACATCCCACCCCTCCCCTTGGCCTCTAGCATCCCTCTCTTGCTAAGAGATGTTAACTTAGCAAGTAAATAATTTACCCAACAACTACGATCACTCGATGATAAAAGCTCCCTTTTATAGACCACTGCTTGGTAGGTACCATACTAAATACTTTACAGAAATTGTCTCCGATTGCCAGTTCCCACAGAAACCATGCAAAGCTGGTGTATTTGTTTTTTGCAGATGAAGAAACTGTAACTCAGAGGAGACAGGTGACCCTTAAGGCCAGAGCCACGTGATAGAGATGGAATTCAAATGCAGAAGGGTTTGTAGTATGAGAATTAAAAAGTGTGTTCTAGTTACACGGAGGTTACAATCTGGCCCCATGTAAGATGGAGACGGCACAGGGATGGTGTAATTACAGGGGAATGGATGGGGAAAGAGCCATAAAGACAAAATCATCTTGGGATGAGAGTTTACCTGGGAAGATAGTCAAGAAGTTTAGTTGCTGCTTGGTTTTTTGGTTTGTTTACAGGGATACTTTTCTCTTCTATCTTTCCTCTGATGTCTCCCCAGAAGAGAATGAACAATGTAAATAAAACAGTGAAATCTTCATTAGCAGTAAATAGAACAAAAGCCGGGGAGGGCAGCAGCTCTGTTTTCAGATCCCAACATGTACCACGATGCCTGGCATGTGGCGATCTCTCAATAAAGACACATTTGTGGGGCGCCTGGGTGGCTCGGTCGGTTAAACGTCTGCCTTCGGCTCAGGTCATGATCTCAGGGTCCTGGGATCAAGTCCCGCATTGGGCTCCCTGCTCAGCAGGGAGTCTGCTTCTCCCCCTCCTGTTCCCCTTGCTTGTGCTCTCTCTCTCTGACAAATAAGTAAAATCTTAAAAAAAAAAAAAAAAAAAGGACACATTTGTAAAGATCCAATGAATGAATGGAGCAAGCACAGGAGGTGCTATGACCCAACCTAAGTGCCTTTTAATAAATTACCTCATTTAATTCTTCCAACTCTGTGTAATTGGTATTATTAGTTCCATTCTACTAATAAAAAACTTGAACATCTAGAGAGATTAAGCTATTTACTCAAGGTCACAAAGCTCCAGAAAGTATACTTTTGGTTACAAACATTTTCAAATGGGAACAACAACAACAAAATAGAGAATAGGATAATGGCTCTGTATATGCCTATCACATAGAGTTAATGATGATTCATTTTTTGGATAAATTTGCATCATCCTTTTATTTTCCTAGATTATTTTACACTTAGATACATCATGACGTTTTATCCCTAATTATCTCTCTCCAGCTCTACAAATTAAGAACTTTTTCTTGCCTAATCACAATCCTAATTTATTTGACCATCCAATCGAGGTGCACTAGTCGTCTTTAATTATTATGTCTCTTAAGTCTCCTTCATCCTAGAAAAAGCCCTGATTTATTAAAAAGAACAGAGAAGCTGTCTGCAGAGCGTTCAACTCCCCGGCTGCTGATTCATGTTTTTACGCTCTAGCCCACCTGTTTTTTGGTCAAGGGCAAGTTCTCTAAAGACAATGACTGTTCTAACCGTTTCACTGTGGAGCAGGAGCTGTGGCTTCATTCTTTACTGCTAATGAGCTGCCCAGGAAACTCCAGCGTCTCTGAGCCTAACTCTCCTGTTTGTAAAATGAGATAAGGACAGGTGAGCTACAGAATCTGAAGGTGCTGCATCAAGGTGAGTTTTTATAAGACCACCTGGGTTCAAATATCAGCTTACCATTTACTAGCTGCCCGACCGCGGGCATGTTAATTAACCCCTGTCCATCTCACTGTCCACAGCTCTAACACGGGAGGAGTAGTGGAATCTGACTCCCTTGTGAAGATTAAAAAATACAATGCATGAAAAGACTTTCGGAACAGTGTCTGGCACATAACAAGTTGCCCAGTAAATATTACTACTATTATTATTATTTTGTATCAATATACTTACCACAGGGATACTTTTTCAACAGCAGAGAACCTGGGAAAACAAAATAGATACCTATCACTGGGCTGTGTTGTAAGATCCTTGAAAGCAAGGACTTACTGTCCAACGATTAAGAAATCTGCGGTTTCAGTGTGTCAGTTGATGATGACCCAATCTTAGGGACTGAGTGAGAACCCAGGAGATTTAAGAGTGGTTATTACATATGGACCAAAAAAGGAATATAAAGTAGAAAGAAAGAAATGCGAATTTTGCACTACACTGGGGTTAACTCCAGCATTCACAGTGGAAAGGGGCAAGAGATTAAGAAAACACCCTAACATTCCCCCCAAACCTCATTTCCGGTGTCCAACCTGAGTCCTGTAATAGCAAAGGTGAAGTGTCCTTAGCTGGGCATCCTACTGCAGCCCACTCTCAGAGTTGGAGAAGGCTCTGCTGACCTACCTGAAGGGCTGCCCTATGTCCTCCAGTAAGGAGATAAAGATATGCGGCCTGTTCTTGGTCCATTTCCTGCCCACCCAGAGGCTCTCCCTTGGAATTCCTCCCGAACCCATCTCTCTCTTCCCCTCTTCCTCTTACCTCCTCGCCCTCCCCCTGCTTCTCCACCTTCTAGGTCCTCCCCGCCCCTTCCTCTCCTACTCCTCCCCTAGTTTTCTCCCTCTTTTCTCCCTCCTCTTTCCTTCTCCGCCCCCTCCTCTCTGGAACAAGCGCACAGAGCTGAGCCAGACTGCAGGAGAGGGGCCGGGTCTCGGCTGACCTAGGCCCCCCTGCAAGGCCCCCACCGCCCCCCACCCGCCCCCGTGGCGCAACAAGCTGCAGCCACGGAAATCAAACCCGGCCCAAATCTGGGCCCCGCGGGTGGGCGGCGCTGTCCCGCCCAGGCCAGCGGACCCCAGCCCCTCCGCTTCACCCTCCGCTCCAGGCTCACGCGCGCTCACCTACTCCTCGCCGGCCGCCAGCACCCGGGACTTGAATCCCGCGCCCAGGCGTGTTCGGTGCTTATAGGAGGAAGCAAAGGCCTCTGAGCGCCCGCGGGGAGCTGGCCTGGGAGGGGCGTCCCTGCGAGCTGGGCGGGCTGGGCCGGCGGGGCGGGCGGATGCTGGGGCGCGCGGGCGGTAGGCGGGAGCTGAGGTTCCAGAAAGTGTCCTGCCCCATGCGATCCCCTGCTCGGCGGGCTGTTGGGTTCCTTCCACTTTCCTATCTGCCCGGCTTCTAACAGCCTCACCCCTCCGCCGCCTCTGCGTCTTTGCTTCTTTGGAGACCCGGGAAGCGGGCCTGCCAGTCGGTGGGGGACGGGGGTGGGTGGGTGGGGGTCTCCAGAATAAAGTAGAGCGTGTTTGTCTCCGTCCCTCCAGCCTGAAACAAAATCTTCCCAAGGTCTTGCGTCCCCACTGCCGGTTTGAGAACCAGACATGGGAGTCTCCGCCTCGTCTCTTCCCTTGAGCTTTTCTCTGGCACAAGGACAGCCAAGGCTGACAGGGGTAGAGACCTGTTGCTGTATTGCTAAGAAGGCGGATTTTCGTCAAATGTAGACCCGTTAAAGTTTTGGTTAGAAAATCAAAAGGATTCCTTAAAAGGTTTCTTTACTCCCAAGGGCAAAATAAACTCAACACTTGAGGGAACGCAACAACAACAACAAAGCTGGACATGAACCTCCGCATGCAAGATACACTCTCCCCACCACTGAGTTCACACAGCGCTGGAGAGAGTTCAAGGGACCTCAGAGGGACACAGCAGCAGAAACCCACTCGGTGTTGTGAGGCCTCCAAGGATGTCAAGTGCTGCTTCCCAGAAATCTCGACAGAACCGCCTGTTGGTAAAGCTAAGCCCGCAGCTTCTTGAGGTTATGGGGAGCAGAACTTCCGTAGCGTCTCAGAAAGGGGAGAGCAAGGTTGGACTCTTTATGGAGATTTTGAAGTCTGGTTTAAGTCGGGTCTTTTATGTGAGGGATTGGTTAGGATAGGGTAAGCCTCGGGTGACAGTTTAGGACTAGTGGGTGACAGGCAAGGATTTTCAAGAAGGTTTGGAAACTGTGCTTTGATGTTTTCAAGTGAAGAGTGCTGCGGTCTTTGAGGAAGTTACTGGAATAAACAGTAAAGATATTTGCAACTTCCGTGTCCCTGGGCAAAAGCTTCCTGCTATAGTAAATTCATGCTGATGAAAAGAGAAGATAAGTCATATTAATGTAGTCAGCAAGCGATGTGACTGTAGATGACTTTCTCTTAATGATGAACATGCTGGAGAACCTGGTCACCATTTGTCATCTAGAGTATCGAGTATTTTATCTTGGCAAGAAGCTCACTCAAGAGAACACATTTAACATAATTTTTGTCATAATGCTACACCCAGAATTTAGACACAAAAAGGTTGATCTTCTTAGGAAACATTTTCATAAAGTTAACGATGGGTCTTCAGAACCACATCCGCTTTTAAAATTAGAACCTGCTCTCCCCTTGGGCACTGCAAAAGAAATATACATCCTTTTATTTTACTCTGCTCTAGATTTCCAGGGACAAACCCCAGTCTTTTCAGGAAACAACGGTATTCCGGTTTACGGGTTTTTTCTGTTCCCCCCCCCCCCCCCGCCAGCCTGAGGTTTTTCTCCTTTGTGACCCCGTCAATAAATTTTCTCTAAACTCTAAGTCAGCGCCAGGACCAAAGGGGTAACTCACCGAAGAGAAGAGTTCGTCCCAGACCTAGCCTTCACTCGCCTGCACGCGCGACTTTGGGGGGACCCTTGCCTCCAGCCGGGAGTTCTGCCTTCTGGGTAAGCGGGCTGTGAGTCAGACCAAGGGACGGCGGGGTGCCGAGTCCCTTTGTCTCATTGGACGGCTGCTCTCTACTGCGGAAGCCGATTGGTCGCGCTCTAGCCGCCGAGTGGAGCGCGGGAAAGGGTGGGCGCAGCCCCCCCCGCGCTGCAAGGTGCAGGAATCCCAGGCAGGAATCCCCGCTGCGGGAGTCCGCGCACCCTCCCTCGCGGCAGGCAGGACCGGCCTCACTGGGCTCTCGCTGCCCTCACTGCCTGCTTCATCTCCCTCCTTCCCCTAGTCCTGAATCCCCGCGGCAATCCCAGTGGGGGTGAAGGGGGGCAGCGGAAGTCGGGACACTTGAGGCTCTGGCCTGCGCGCCAGAAACCCGCCGCGGAAGGGCGTGGGTGAAAACGCGGCTTCCGGAGGCGCGGCTGTCCCCTCCCCGAGATGTGTTGGAAGTGAAGGCAGAGGCATGTGGCAGGCGTTTGCAGCGAGTCGCCATCTCTAGCGTCCTGGGAGCGCTGCAGGTGGGTGGGCAGAAGGGGACTTGGGCGACTTGGGCGTTCCCCCCAGATGCGACAGATCCGGTGACTGTGACAATCAGGAAGAAGCCGAAGCCGAGAATGGAGGTGGAGTGAACGACCTTGTCGTGAAGCGATGCTCCAAACGTCCACGAATATAGGCAAATGTTTGCAATCCTGATGAAGAAGACCGTAAGGACTCCAGGAATAAATCCCAGAGCTGACAACTCCAGTAGGACAGGGCTGGCAGACAGCCCGCTGTTTAAGGATCTGCACCAACAGCAGATGTGCACGCATTCCATTCTGTATTTGAAAAGGAGCCGCGGTTACAACCGTGACACGTTTTCTGCAATTGACCGAGGACTAGAGGATGTGTGTAGAGTGACAGTGTTGAAAAGAAGGTTGGTAACTACAGTATATGTGATAATTTGGGGGGAACCGGACTTAATGTGCATACAGCACTCCCAAAATAACTACAACTACTGCTTCCTATACTGTGGGTTCTCTGGGGCTTGGAAAGAGTAAACTTTGAAAAGGAAAAACAAAACAAAACAAAACAAAACAACAACAAAAAAACAACCAGAAAACCCAATTAGTATGAAATTTTCACCACTCACTATCATTCTCTGAATCATTAGAAGTTTTCATGCTCCTGAAAGTAGTGCGTGCAATCAACACTAAAGAATTAACTTTTCTGATTTCTTTTTTTTTTTTCATTGTAGATTCTGAAGCAGTAAAATTTCCATGACAAGCAAGAGGTGGTGAAAATACTGGGGTTGAAACGGCCCAACAATCTGAGCTACCTCGTTTTAGAGAGCTATATTTTTCCAGCTGACTTGTTAGAATTTGATAGACTTTTGAGATATTGTCTGGAAATTATGACCAATCTCAACTACGAAGAAGAGTGAGGTTGCCCTTTTTTGGGAGTAAGAAGATCTATAATGTAGAGCAAAACTAAATGTCTGGTCCACTGAGAATGTATTTATGCAGATGTGAAGCATTTTCTGGGTCTTTTTTTTTTCTTTTGTACATTTCAGTATATAAACAAAATAGTGGCTTAGTAGCCAATAGGCTTAACAACACTTCCCAAACATGAATGTTAAGAATTCAACATTTTGTTTCTATGAAATATTAGTGCACAAGAAGATAGTGAAAAGTTAACATAAAATATGTTCTTATCTTTGCGTCTATGAGACCTCGGTGCTACTATGTAGCAAGATATCTATCACTTTTTTCTTAAATCTTTCCATAATTTTGTATAATTTTAATAATCCTTATTTTTAAAACATTTCTGGCTTGGTAAGTTATGAGTTAGTTTCTTGGGGAAAGGGCATAAAATAAATATTTCCTAAGCCTTAAATATATTCACAATAAAATATATTTTGCCTTAAGGTAATAGGAAAATAAACTTTTTTGGATGAAAGGTTTCTGTCACGCTTTTTCCTTCATAAGCCCTACACCTTTTGTTATTTTTTTCTCCAAATTTCAGACAAGATGAAGTTGTAATCTCAAAGTTACTATAGAGCTAGTGAGAGCTAAACCAAATAAAATTCACATTCTCAAGACTAGAAACCCAAAAGTTTTTTTTTTTAAGATTTTATTTATTTATTTGACAGACAGAGATCACAAGTAGTCAGAGAGGCAGGCAGAGAGAGCGGGAAGCAGGCTCCCTGCTGAGCAGAGAGCCCATGTGGGGCTTGATCCCAGGACCCTGAGACCATGACCTGAGCCAAAAGCAGAGGTTTGACCCACTGAGCCACCCAGGCGCCCCTCAGAGAGACAGAATCTTAAGCAGGCTCCAAGCCCAGCCCAGAGCCCAATGAGGGGCTTGACTTCAGAACCCTGAGATCATGACATGAGCAGAAACCAAGAGTCAAATGCCTAATGGACTGAGTCATCAGGCACCCCTGCAATTTTTGAGGTTAATTTTTGTGCAAAGCCTTCTTGTAGGAAAAGATTATATCATACATGAAGATATCTTGTTTTCCATTTTTACTTCAGAATTTATCTTAAAAGCCATTCCTCCTTTGTAAAAAACAAACAAAACTCAAAAAAGTAAATAAAAATTCCAGGTTCATCATACTTGACACAAGTTTCTTTTTTGGTTGCCTGTTATAACTCATTCTTAATCACTGAAAGCACTATAAATAAATACCTGTTTCATAAACCAAGATATGTGACCAAGTTAAAATGAATTGGTGGTGGTATATAACATTTTATTGTAATTACTTTTTATAGTCATTTATAAATGGAGAGAGGGGCAGGGGATTCCTTGGCAATGGCCAGCCAGGCTGTTTGCTTTCACGGATGGGCTAACCCTTACATCTTCGGGTGGAAGGAATCATTCCCCGGGGTGTGCCTGCTTCATTTAATACTCTCAGTGACCCTGTGGGGAAGGTGTGGTCATCTGCCCTGGTTCACAAATCAAAAGTTTTGCAAGTATTTGCCCAGAAACATTCTTGCCAGGATTTAAACTACCATCTGAAGCTAAGGCCATCTAACTCCTTGTATTGAAAGGCTTCTATGGCTGCCTTTAATTTTTAACAGCGAAAGGCACAGCGGCTCACCCCTTCCTACATATTTTTTCATTTATGCAATCCTTTCTTCAACACATAAATGTGCACTTACAATTTACAAGACCAAGTGCTGGATTCTATAGAGCGTTAATGTTGAGAACAGTCCTGCCGTTAGGAAGGAGGAAAAGGTACACACATAATAGAATCTCCAACATGGTTTCATCCATTTAAAACACATGTTGGTTCCTGCTTCCAGAGAATGTACTGGATATTAGGAATACAGAGTTGAATGAATATGTTTCTCATATTCATGGATCCAGAGCAATTTATACAATCTAGTTCTAAGCACAGTACTTTCCCAGGACACACTATACATGTCTGCTGTTTAAAGTTTTGTGAAGCTTTATGTAATTGTGCCTTAGAAAACATTTATTTTGATTTTCTGGGAATTAGGAAAACCCTAATTCTGTTTCTCTGATTTTGGAAAGTCTGGAGAACTGGAAGAACAGATGATGAATGTGAGAAATTGTTCTCAAGTCTCCACCCTGCCCTGTACCTACACCTCTTGCCCTGACTTGCCTTGACTTCGAGGTTCCTCCCACTTCATTAATGTCAGACTTAACCACCTGATTTGCTTCAGCCAGGGGAATGTGCACAGAATGAAAACTTGCCTGGCTTGACCTTGGGCGCCACTGGTTCTTTCTGTTTGCCTCTCTTTGACTTCTGCTACCGCCAGTTTAAGAACATGCACCTGCTAGTACTACTTCATAACGTGGGGAGGTTTCCGTGAGGCAGTGGATAGAATGAGGGTCCAAATACACCAAATACACAAACACTCCATAAATGATAGGCGTTTTCATGTTTCTTTTTTTATGACTATCGTATTATTCTGCTTGGTGCATACCTGTCTGCAAGGCTGTGCACTATGTCAAAAGTGTACATGATTTCTAGGTTCGGGAAATATTGCCAAATTACTAATACAGAAAGAATGTACCAAATTACTCTTCCACCAGCAGGACAAGGTGATGTTCATTTCACCTTGAGGTCAAAGTGTTGAGCGACCTGGATTCCTAAATTCAGAGCCAGATCCTAAGACTCCAGATACCTCCAAGATCTGGAGGGCATAACTCCTGTGGAGGTAACGCCCTCATGGGGGTAGGGGTGGGGGGATCTGCTTAGACTTTTAGGAGGGTGCCTACACCTCCCTGATTGCAGAGACTCCAAGGGGGAGGTGGCCTGCACACGGGGCTCATCCTTTCTCCGGGAAGAGCGGTATCCGTCGCAGTCCGCGCAGTCGTGGCCAGAGGCCAGAGCTCCTCGGCGTTGGGTACGCGCAGGGGCCGCGTGCTGGAGTGCCCTCCGTCCTTCCTCCTAAAGAACTACGGAGAAACCCGCCGCGGGTCTTGCCTGGGCGGGCCCGAGCCCCAGGGACGGACGTTTCCTAACCACCGTCCTCAGTACCCCTCCTGAGACTCGCACTTCCAAGGCGCGCCGTTTTACTTAAGGGCTTCCTGGCGGGGACCGTCCTTTGCACCTCCGAAAACCGGACGGGGTAGGATGGGAACCTTCATTCATCACCTGTGGGTCGTTGGGATTGCGCTTGACACACTTGAGTCTCATTTAATCCTCACATTCACCGTTTGGGCGGTGGGTGTGACTTTGTCTCCATTTCATAGATTAGGAACCCTGTAAATTTGCTACTTGGAGGGAAAGACAGATGTACCCTAGGATTTTAGTCTTAGAGCCTTACAGCCTTTTAAGACGCTGCAAAGACTTTGGGCCCCTCTTAGTTCCTTCATTTGCAAACCAAAGAGGTTGGCCTAGATGAGCGATTCCCCAACTTTAGTGTCTATAAGAAATATTTAGGGCAGGCTTTTAAAAATGCAGATCTTGGGGCAGCTGGGTGGCTTAGTCCGTTAAGCGTCTGCCTTCGGCTCAGGTCATGATCCCAGGGTCCTGGGATCCTCAGCAGGTTGCATCTTTTAAAAAACACCCTGGAGAGACTCCCGCTTAGAAGAAACTTCAAGTCAGTTGTGCATTGTCACACTCTGCCTGGCGGCGTGGTACGCACTCCACAGATTTTAAATCACAGCACCTCTGCGAAACGGGCACCATTTTTATCCCCCCATTTTGCGGAGGAGAGAGCTGGCCCCACGGCTTCAGGCTCTGGGATTGGCTTCCTTTCCATTGCTCGCTGGGGTTCCGTGACCCCACCGCGACTCCGCCCTTCGCCCCCTCAACTCTGCCCCGCCCCGTTGTCCCCTCGTCCCGCCGTCCCCTTCTGTC